CCCCGCCCCCCGCCCGGCAGCCTGCCAGGAGGTGGCCTTGGACATCCGTGCGCGCGTCGAGGAGTTCAAGCCCTACATCCCGCTGATCCAGGGCCTGCGCAACCCGGGCATGCGCAACCGCCACTGGGAGGAGCTGTCCCAGGAGATCAACATCAACGTCAGGCCCAAGGCCAACCTGACGTTCGCCCGCTGCCTGGAGATGAACCTGCAGGAGCACATCGATAGCATCAGCAAGGTGGCCGAGGTGGCCGGCAAGGAATACGCCATCGAGCAGGTGGGCGGCCCTGACGGACGCGAGCATGCACAGCACGCCTGGCACGCATGGGGAGGGGGGGAGAGCATGTCACCCTGAGTCCAGAGGTGGGCCCGTGGAGGATTTGTCGACCAGACCAAGCTGAGCATGTTTTGCAAGGGGGAGCGAGGTCAGGGCCTGGCCTGGCCCTCCCTGCCCAGTGCTGACCAGACAGCGTGGGCAGCCAGCTCATCCCTGGGCCCTGGGCCCGGCTCACCGGCCGGCCCCGACTCGCTCACCACAGGCCCTGGACAAGATGGAGAAGGAGTGGTCATCCATCCTGTTCAACGTGCTACCCTACAAGGAGACGGAAACCTACATCCTCAAGAGCCCGGATGAGGCCTCGCAGCTGCTGGACGACCACATCGTCATGACCCAGAGCATGTCCTTCTCCCCCTACAAGAAGCCCTTCGAGCAGCGCATCAACTCCTGGGAGACCAAGCTGAAGCTGACCCAGGTGGGCCTGCCCCGGAGGGCGGGGCTCCACGGCAGGGGCAGGGCTTGCCCGAAGTCGGCCGCACCCAGCCCTCTGACAGGCCCCGCCCTCCCGAGGAAGGCAGCCAGGCAGGCTCTCCCCATTTGGAAGCTTGGCTCTTGGAGGGATTGGCACAATGAGGCTGAAGAGGGTCACGAGAGTGGTCCCCAGGCCCCCAACTCCAGTCCTGGAGCTGCCTGGCTGGATACCAGAAAGCCTCTGAGGGTCTCCATGCCTGACACTCCTGCCCTGAGCCCCTCTCCCACCTCACTGGGGGCCTGGGCTCTGGAGGCCAGAGGCGGGGGCTGCCCACAGAGCCCTGGAGGACGGTCCCAGGGCCTGGTCACGAGGTGTGGCCCCCTACCCACGCTGGGGGGTGGAGGGGACTTCCTGGGAGCTGTCCGGAAACATCTGGGGAGACCAGAAGCTGGGTGAGGAGGTTGGCTCTGGGCAGACCATGTGAAGAGGGTCAGTGCTGTTGCCAGGCCGCCCACCTTGGGCGCTTCTGTTCCCTCCATGTGGGAACAACCCCCTTCCATCGTTCCAGGGTGCCCCTTGGCCAGCACCTCTTGCAGGGCCGTCACATACAGGTGTGCGGCCCCTGGTAACTGAGTGCAGAGCTGAGCCCTTAGTGGGTCATGCACTCCTTGTGGCCAGGATCCCACCCTGGCCGGCCGCCGGCCATCTGCATCTCCCCATGCCCGAGCTCATAAGAGGGAAAGGGGGCTGTGCCATGCCTTGTTTTGAACCAGGTTCCTTCACGCACAGACTGATGGTTCAGAATGTCTTCCAGGAACCTCAAACTCAAGTCCCAATCAGGCGAAGGGAATCTCGGGGCGGAGCCTAAAATCCTCCCAGGAGGGGAGACGGGGTTGGACTCGGTGCACTGGGTTTTTCCTCTGTGACCTCGGGCCTTCTGGGGAAAGCCAGGGTCCAGCCCTCATCAGGGAAGGAAGAGCCTGTCGAAGGCTTGGGCCTCGGCTTGTTGGAGGGCAGGCGTCCTGCAGCCTCTTGGTCCCGGGGGGACTGTGATGCTAACCCTGCAGACCCTCACTGGCCCCAGCGTGCTGTCAGGGCAGGCAGCCGTCCTGGCGTCTGGACCGAGCCTGACATGCCTCCTTGCAGGAGGTGCTGGAGGAGTGGCTGAACTGCCAGCGCTCCTGGCTCTACCTGGAGCCCATCTTCAGCTCCGAGGACATCAACCGGCAGCTGCCGGTGGAGAGCAAGCGCTACCAGACTATGGAGCGGCTCTGGAGGAAGATCATGAAGAACGCCTACGAGAACCGGGAGGCGAGCTCACCGGGGCGGGAGCACGGGGGAGACCCCTGGCCGCTTGTGCTGTCCTGAGTGGGCTGCCCAGGAACACGGCCCCCCACGGGCTTCCTCTTGGACGTTCTGGACCCACGTCCTCGCTCTAAAGGCCCCGAGCAGCCCTGTAGTAAAGCCAGTCACACAGCTCTCCTCAGACACCTCCCCCACCCCGGACAGTCTTGAGCTTCCCCAGGAGTTAGTTAGCCGGGTGGATGGGCGCAGCTCCTGGGGCAGGATGGATGCCACCTGGACCCTGCTGGGGTCTCCGGCGCTGGGCAGCGCGCTCTGGAGAGCCCACCTTGGGGCCTGGCCTGGCCGGCCCCCGCTCACACCATCTCCGCTGGGCCGGGGCCTTGCAGGTGATCACCGTGTGCGCCGACCAGAGGCTGCTGGACAGCCTGCGGGACTGCAACAAGCTGCTGGACATGGTGCAGAAGGGCCTCAGCGAGTACCTGGAGACCAAGCGCAGCGCCTTCCCCAGGTGGGTGCCCCGCGCACGCGTGCACACAAGCACGCGGCCAAGGTGTCCGGCGCCCACCTGACTAGCCCCGCCCTGGCTCTGCTGGCAGATTCTACTTCCTGTCGGACGACGAGCTCCTGGAAATCCTCTCGCAGACAAAGGACCCCACGGCCGTGCAGCCCCACCTGCGCAAGTGCTTCGAGAACATCGCCCGGGTGGGTCTCCAGGCCCTGCCCTGGCACCTCCCAGCCAGGAAGAATCAGTTCTCGCTTTGTAGCCCAAGGCCCTTGAGCAGGAAATGAGGCAGCAAGTGGCCCCCCACCCCATCCCCGAGAGACACCTGGGCCCTTGGGAGACATACCAGCTCCAAGACCCCGAGCTCAGGGCTGGGGCTGGTGGCCCTCAGAGCCCCGCTCGCCTGCAAATCCAGCCCTTACCACGTGCGCACAAAGGCCATCACGCCTACAGCCTCCTGACGCGCCTCTCCCTCCCGCGTCTGCAGAAGTCACATAGGCTCGTGTGGTGACGGGTGGGTGGTGTGCACACAGGGTGGGACTTCTTGGGGCAGGCGTGGGTGGGGCCAGGACACAGCTGGGACAAGGCGACCACATCCCGCCTGCATGCGGCCAGACAGGACACAGCCCAGGTAGACACGCGAGGGGGCAGCCCCTGGAGGTGGAGGGCCCAGGCCGGGCAGCCTTGGGGCTGTGGTGGCGCCCCGGGTGACCCCTGACCCCACCCCCAGCTGCTGTTCCAGGAGGACTTGGAGATCACACACATGTACTCAGCCGAGGGCGAGGAGGTGAAGCTGTCCTCCTCCATCTACCCCTCCAACAATGTGGAGGACTGGCTGCGGGAGGTGGAGGCCAGCATGAAGGGCAGCATTCGGGACTTCATCAGGTGGGCCATCCAGGCCTACCCCACGGTGAGCCGCCCTCCCCACAGCCTCCCCAGGGGCCCTACATGGAGGACTCTGAGGACCACCCTGCCCACGAGGACCACCCCACGGTTGTGCGTGTGCCGGGCCAGTGCTGGACATTGCCCGGGTCCCCTCAGCCCTCACCAGCAGGGGCCATGGGGCTGAGCCTCCGTCAACTTAGTTGCCTGAGCAGACAGGGATTTCTGGGCATGGGCCCCACCCCGTGACCCCACGTTTCCTTGCCGAGGAGGCAGTGATCTGTCCCCAGCCCCCGCCCCACCCACGCTAGGTGGAATTAACCACTGGAGCTGAGAGCGCCGGCTGCACAGACAGAAAATGTTCGAGGGGAGGAGGCGGCACGGGGCCAGGGCTAGGGGGCGGTCAGCTGCCCGGGTCAGCCTTGCCCTGGTCATTTCCTAGATGCCCAGGACCCAATGGGTTCTCAAGTGGCCCGGCCAGGTGACCATTGCTGGGTGCCAGACCTACTGGACCATGGAGGTGGCGGAGGCCCTGGAGGCTGGGGACCTCAGCAGCCGGCTCTTCCCCAAGCTTGCCCAGCAGGTAGGCACCAGGCTGGCACCATCTGCTCCCCCACAGCCCCAAGGGGACCAGCCCCTCCAGGGCCTTTTCCCTGGGTCCCCCTTGGAAGAGGTTGGGCCTAGAGAGCAGAGGTCAGACACCCTAAATGAGTGTCCCGCAGGGTCTGAGAGCAGGTGTGGTGGGGGGGGCATTGCATTCCACACCACCACTCCTCACACTCCTGCCCCCACCCCCCAGCCGGGCCCGCTCTCATGGGGCTGAAAGCCCTGCTCTTCTTGCCCCGCCTGCCCAACTCCTGCTCCCTCCCAGCCCCGGCCTGCAGGCCCGGAGCCCCCAGGATGGAAGGTTGTTCATGCGGAAGCCCACTCTCCACAGCAGGCTCAGGGTGGAGACCCTAGCTGTGGTGCAGTCCCTGACAGCCCCCTCTGGGCCTCCCTCCGCAGCTCAGTGACCTGGTGGCCCTGGTTCGGGGGAAGCTGTCCCGCATGCAGCGCACTGTGCTGTCAGCCCTGATCGTCATCGAGGTCCACGCCAAGGACGTGGTGGGCAGGCTGGTGGCGGAGGACGTGGTCAGCGTGAACGCCTTCGAGTGGATCTCGCAGCTGAGGTGGGGGCCAGGCCTGCTCACCCCAGCCCCCGCGCAGCTGCCAGGAGGGGCCTGTGGCAATAGACTTGAGGGGCCCTCAAAGAACGTCCTCTCCCGGCCCACGGCCCAGGAGTCGGTCTCTGTAACTCAGGTACTACTGGACCAATGAAGACCTGTACATCCGCGCCGTCAACGCCGAGTTCATCTACGGCTACGAGTACCTGGGCAACAGCGGGCGGCTGGTCATCACGCCCCTCACCGACAGGCAAGGCCCCCTCAGAAAGTGGACGGTCAGCCATTTGCTCTCGAGCCTGGACTGGTGTTGTGTAGCAGCTAGGTTTCTGGTTGGGTTTTGAATAGGAGAAGTGAGAGTGGCCACAGGCTGACTAGGCCCCCCCCGCCGCCCCCGAGGGTGCACACAGGGCTGGGGGCCAGGGGGCACTGGAACTGTGACTGAGGGCTCCCACGCTGGTCTGCGCAGCCAGGCCTGGCATACCTGAGGCCCTGAGAGCAGGGCCCCTCCCGACCCCTCGTGTCCCAGTGTGTGTGGCCTCTACCTGCCTCTTTTCTTCTGCAGATGCTACCTGACCCTGACTGGGGCCCTGCACCTCAAGTTTGGGGGTGCCCCTGCAGGTCCAGCTGGCACAGGGAAGACAGAGACCACCAAGGATCTGGGCAAGGCCCTGGCCATCCAGACGGTTGTGTTCAACTGCTCGGACCAGCTGGATTTCATGGCCATGGGCAAGTTCTTTAAGGGCCTGGCCAGGTGAGGCAGGGCTGTGGGATGGTACCGGGCAAAGCTGGAGGGCTTTGCTCTCTGTTGGTGGAGGGCCAGGTAGGTTCCAGCCTCATGCCTGTCTGTCGCTGGCCTGGCCTCCCCAGCGCCGGAGCCTGGGCCTGCTTCGATGAGTTCAATCGCATCGACATCGAGGTGCTCTCCGTGGTGGCCCAACAGATCACCACCATCCAGAAGGCTCAGCAACAGCGGGTGAGCCTCGGGCGCGCCCAGTGCACCAGCTGCCCTGTGCCGGGGGCTGAGAATCCAGAGTCCGGCCCCTCTCCCCACAGCTGCCAGCACTGAGCCATTGCTTCTGGAGTGCTGGAGGGGCTCTTGTCCCCAGTCAGGAAGGCAACGTCTTTGCCCCGGGCTCTGAGCAGTCCTAGGCCAAGTTGGGGTGGGCGAAGGGGTCCCTTCCCTCACCCGGGTCCTTGTGCAAAGGCCAGGGGTCCACCCTTGCTCGACCTCGTTCAGGGCAGCAGGGGTCTTTTCCAGAGACAGGATCTCAGAAATGGATGGGTGCCGCCCCAGCTGCATAGGGTCTGGTTGACTGAACGGAGAGAGCTGGGGTCAGGGGTCAGAGGTGTGACAGCCTCTGGAGGGACTGAGCCAGGGCCCAGTCACCATGAGCCAAAGGCCATGTGGTCCCAGGGCCCAAAAGCTCAGACCAGATCCCAGGAAGAAGATCTGGTTGGCACCACCCAGGGTTGGAATCAATCAGGCTGACCAGCCATGTCCAGGTTGGAGCCTCAAAGGCGGGTGAGGGGGTGGGAAGGTGGGACATCCAGAGATGGGCCTGGGCTGGGCACCTGCAGCCCCGAAGCGCCAACCTCCAACCCCGGCAGGTGGAGCGCTTCATGTTTGAGGGCGTCGAGATCCCCCTGGTGCCGTCCTGTGCTGTGTTCATCACCATGAACCCTGGCTACGCCGGCCGTACTGAGCTCCCCGACAACCTGAAGGCAGGCACTGGGGGTGGGGGGTGGGAGGGCGTGTTGGGGAGGCTGGCAGGGGGGCACCTAGGCTCTGACCTGGGCTCAGACCCACCCAAAACCAAGCCCACTGCCATCAAATGGACCCAGAATCAGAGTGGCCTCCTTAGGGTCCTGAAGGTGACACATCTTCAGGGGGCAGATAGCCCCCTCTTTTTGTGACGGAGGGGCTGCCGGGTTTGAACCGCCAACCTTGTGGTTGGCAGTGCAGTGCTTACCCAGCAGTGCCACCAGAGCTAAAATTGCACAAGCACAGTCACACTGTTGCCTGTGATGCTCCAAGGCGGCCTTCCTGCCCCCGGGGTTCCGGGCTCAGAGGCCTGCTCTTAGCTATGGGGCATGGGAGACATCAAGCGTGTGCGTGTGGGGGGGGGAGGGAATGTCTGATGGGACCTACCGTGGCTGGACTGTGGGGAGGAAGCCAAGGCAGGAGCACAGAGGGGCCGTCACTGGGGAGGCTCACGGGCAGGTGTTCACAGCAGCACAGGGAGCCTATTTCTAAGGGCCAGATCCCAGCCCAGAGGGGCACTAAGCATTCAGCATGGGCTGTCAGCCTGGGAGGAGGGCAGGGGGTGCGGCCTTCCCAGGGCTGGGCGGTGCAGGAGGGCAGCCGCCCTGCCCTCACCTGCGCCCGGCGGCGCCCACCCCAGGCGCTCTTCCGCCCAGTGGCCATGATGGTGCCGGACTATGCCATGATCGCAGAGATCTCCCTCTACTCCTTCGGCTTCAACGAGGCCAACGTGCTGGCCAAGAAGATCACCACCACCTTCAAACTGTCCTCGGAGCAGCTCAGCTCCCAGGTGAGGCCCTGCATGACCAGGGGCCCCTGCCTGCACAGCAGCACCCTCACCTGCCCTGGGCCGCTGGCCACTGCTGGGCGCCTCACACACGCTATCTTGTGGACCCTCCCAACACATCCATTTCTCAGCCCAGGTCACTGAGCACTGCCCTGAGCACTGGGAGTCTGCCTAGGTCCGCGAGGCCACAGCGGGGTGGAGGCAGGAGCCGGTGCAGGTGTCCACCTGGGCGAGCTGGGGTGCAGGGAAGGTGGCCATTCAGAGACAGAGCGACACTCAACCCAATCTGGGAAGCAAGTGTGGGGACCAGGACGGGACTGCCTCTCACACACACCCACTCCCTGGGGGCAACCCCAGCCAGAGGCAGGATAGGTGAGTCTAGCCACCCAGTACCCGTGGGTGCTTCGTTCTCAGGCTGGGTCCCTGTTGCCGTGGAGGGTGCCTCGGCTTATATGCTACAGCCTCCACGTCACTTTCCACATAGTTGCAGAGAACCCCCCGGTGGGGGGGGGGGTTCAGGGTGCGGTGTAGCACTGAGGGGACACACGAGTACCTCCAGTTCTGAGTGTTTCCTCCCTACTCTTAAGACCTCGTGAACGCTGTTAGACCTCCTTATGCACCCATGTATGAGTGAGATGGTGAGACGCAGGGATGCCAGGATGGGGGACCCTGCAGGAATAGCAGTGGGAGTAGCGATTCCCTGAGGATGCAGGAAGATTGGGGCTGGTGGGGGGGGGGGAATGGGGAAATGATAGCAATTGGGGCTGTGCAGATGATAGAATTGTAGGTGCGTGGATGTACTGGATGGGGTGAGATACAGCATATAGATGTGTATAGACTGATGTGGCATGAGTACACATATATATTTATGTGACTATAAAACACAAGGGTCCCTGGGGTGGGGGAAGGAGGGAAAAGGGAGCCAACATCAGAGAGTGGAAGAAGACAGTGCCTTAGAGCTGACGGTAGCCGACTGTACAGTGTGTGTGATCTATTTGGTTTATGGCATGTTAGGACATCTGTAAGAGCCCCAGTAAAATGGTGAAGGAGAAAGATAAACACCCCCCACCCCGCTCCTCCATGGATGCCAAAAGAGGGTGCCCACACGGCATCAGAGAGGTGCTGTTCCTACCAGGACACCCAGCTACTGCCACCACAGCCCACCCCTGGACTGGCAGCTCCCTGGCCCAGCCACCCTGCCTTCTTTCAAATCATGCGGTTCCCAAAATGCTCCCCCACGAGTGCCCCGCCCCTCGTCATTCTGAAGGCATCACCCTTCCTTCCCAAATGACGGTGACCCCACGTCAGCCCATGCAGCAGGGAAACCACTGCTGCCACGGAGTCGGCGCAGACTCACGGTGGCTTTGTGGGACAGGCTGGAGCTGCCCCTGTGAGTTCCTGAGGCTGTAACCCTGCGGGAGGAGGGGCCGCATCTTTCCGGAAGCTGCCGGGGGTGTCGGACTGCTGACCTCTCAGCTTGCATCCCAGGACGTGACCGCTGTGCCACCAGGGCTCCAGACTTGGCTTCTGGTCCCTAGGCCCGTCCAGAAGCCGCTCTCATGGCGCCCGGAGCCCGGCACACTGAGAACCAGCCACCACCAATAGCCTCGGTGTGGGCAGAAAGGTGGACCGGAGAGTGCTAGAAGGCACCTTCCCACGGGGAGCTCCTTCCTCGGCTTTTCAAACAGGATGACTCAATGTGCATGCAGTCCCTGTGCCGGAACGCAGGGGCTCCGCCAGGACCAGGCAGAGCTGGAGCCCGGGCCTGAGTGCCCAGCTACAGCTGCTGCAGGGAGAAGCACCCGGAATTATTATAAAGGGAGGGGGCGTGACGGGGACATCGAGACGCCAGAGACCCCAAAGGAGGGCCGCTGGCCCTCGCTGGTGTGTGCAGGGCGACACAGGGTCTGCCGGGAAATGACAGTGGTAATGAGGTGTGTCAGCACCAGGGGGACGCAGTGCCCCTGAGAGGGCCATGCCCACACCCACCTCTCGGGTGCAGGATCACTACGACTTCGGGATGAGAGCCGTGAAGACCGTGATCTCGGCTGCTGGGAACCTCAAGCGGGAAAACCCCAACATGAATGAGGTGGGCAGGCCCCAGGCTCCATCTGGGGGATGGGGATGGGGTCCTCAGGAGCAGTGCTGGGGGGGAGGAGGGGGCATCTGGCCCAGGCTGCCCCTCAGGCCCTGTGGCTTGCCTGGCCTTGCAGGAGCTGATCTGCCTCAGGGCCATCCGCGACGTGAACGTGCCCAAGTTCCTGCAGGAGGACCTGAAGCTGTTTGCGGGCATCGTGTCCGACCTGTTCCCCACCATCAAGGAGGGGGGCACGGATTACGGCATCCTGGACACGGCCATCCACACGGCCTGCGACAAGGAGAACCTGAAGGACGCGGAGGGTGAGCACCCATGACCCGCGACCCGCATCCCGGGGACACAGACAGCCGAGCCGCGCCTTGGGGGGTGGCCCTGCACCTTGCAGAGTCCTGCAGGCCAAGGCTCCCCCATGAGTGCCCTAAGGGCCAGGCAGGCGTCCTCATCCCCACCCCACTGGAGCCTCCCGGGTGGTCAGGAAGCAGGGGCTTGGCCCCTCTCCCTGATCAAAACCAAACCAGGTGCTTTCAGGTAGGTCCTGCTGGCAGCCTGTGTCTGTGTGGCTCCCTATGATGGACGGATGGACGGCCAGGCGCTTCTTGGCAGCGCCTCCACCTGGGCTTGAACTGCCGGCCCTTTGTGAGCAGCTGAGCTGCTCCCCATTTGTAGCATCCACCCCCCCCCCCCAAGACCTCACAGATAGGCCCATTCTTGGGCTGCAGCCTCCCCACCCTGAGGTGCCATGAAGGTTGGATGGAGACCATCTTTAAACTGGAGACCAACACACACACACACACATAGCACCTCCACCTGTACACATACATGTGTACACGTATATAGACCTACACACACATACGCCTATACAAAGACATATGCTCACACACAGTCACATATACAGACCTGTGCACGCACACGTCTGTACACATATGTATATGTACAGTCACATATACAGACCTAATCACACGTCTGTACACATGTGTACATGCATGTGTACACGTACAGTCACATGCAGACCTATGCACACATATCCCTAGCCACATGTACAGGCCTATACTCAAATTTTTTGCTAAGATGCCACAGCATTTATCAAAAGGGCCTTTAAAGCCCCCCTGGTGGCGTGGTTTAGCTTGTCAAGCTGTGCACACTTAACCACACTCACAAAAGTATCAAGCATCTACTGTCCAGAGAACGGCCCCCTCCCCACCCCATCCCTGCTAACTGCCAGTGGACCTGGTCTCCATAGATAGAACTACTCTTTCCTTCTCTGAAGGTGGGGTCAGACAGTGTTTGTCCCTGTGCCCTGACTACTTCCACATCTGGTGGGATGCCCTCCACATTTCCCCGTCACTAGATTTCTAAAATCGCTTTACGGGGGCTCTCACCGCTCTTATCACATTCCATGCATCGACTGTATCAAGCACATGTGTACTTATGTGCCATCATCGTTTTCCAAACATTTACTTTCTACTTGAGCCCTTGGTATCAGCTCTCCCCCCCCCCATGACCCTAAATTATAATGACCTTTGTATTCAGATTTTACACCTTCCATTCGCCCCCATTTCTGTTGTTTGTCCCCCTGGGGGGGGGGGTGTCGGTCATTGTAGTCATCTACTGTTTCTCCCCTACCTTCCTGGTATGGTGACTCCCATCTCTGTACTCGAGCGGTTTACCTGACCTGGATTTGGTGTGTCTAGCCAGAACTGAAAGGCAGGACTGGGGTCATGAGAGTGGGGGTGAGGAAGCCTCAAGAACCAGAGGAATAGTGTGTGTTTCATCGGTACTGTACTGCGCCCTGGTTGACTCATCCCTTCCTTGTGACCCTTCTGTGAGGAGATGTTCTGTTGTCTACAGATGGGTTTGGGGTCTCTACTCCAACCCCCCTCGTTCTCAACAATGTCATTTTTCTTTGTTGGGGGGCTTCTGGTGCCTGTTACCCTGATTTCATGGATACCGTGATTGTACAAGCTGGTGTGCTGCTTCCATGTGGGCTTGTTTCTCTGCTAGATGGATGCTTGTTTGATGTCAAGCCTTTAAGACCCCAGACACTGCATCTTTTGATAGCCAGGCATGATCAGCTTTCGTCACCACATTTGCTTATGTACCCGCTCTGTCTTCAGCAATAGTGTCAGGAGGGTGAGTATCACAGAAGGCCAGGTTGTTAGAAAAGTGTTCTTGCGTTGAGGGAGGGCTTGAGCAGACGCCCAAAGTCCATCCACTTCCTCAGTGTGTTGCCATGTAAATACATGTACACAGGCCAATACTTGCTTTTATGGATTAATGTATTTACGTAAGTGCACACCTATGTTTATATCTCTCTCCATCGCTTTGCTTCCTAGATCTTCCCTCTGTTTCCTTCTCCCTCCCTCCTGCCCCACCATCACACTCGCCCTTCTTCTGCCTCTTAGCACTTTGTCTCAGCTGGACTGCTGTTGCTCCGACACCCCAGGGTCTCTGCGTCCTCCTCTTGTTGCTTGAACCTCCTAGTCGGGCCATTGCTTTCTCCTCGTGCTTGCTCCCCGCGCACACCTGCCTTATACAGGTGGACAAAACCACAACAAAAAGCAAAGATTGAATAAAAAGAGGAAAAAAAACTAGCAAAAGAACCCCAAAACCAAAACAAAGAAGCACACACAATCCCAGGCCTGTCCACTGACCTTTATGACAATCTCTCCACAGGTCCTGGGGGGCCCCCAAGCCTAAAGTTTATTTGGGGGGCTGCTCGGGGGTTCTGTGGCCTGGCTTGACTCCCGTTGCTGATCGTGTGTCCCCACTGAGGGTGCACTGGTCATTCTGTATGTGGGCACAGGCTCCCGTGGTGCTCAGCAGCCACGTTCTTATTCTGGCCACTGGTGGCCACTTGCTCTGGCGGCCGGGCAGCTGCCTTCCCGTTGGCGCTGTCATCGAGACCCTGGAACAGCGGGATGCAACGCTGCCCGGTCCGTGCGCGCCCTCACCTCTGGTCTTAGGTGGGCGCCCAGTGAGGCCGAGCCGTGCTTTCTGTGAGTCGTGCTGTCTGACCGCAGGCCGAGCCGTGCTGTCTGTGAGCTGTGCTTTCTGTGAGTCGTGCTGTCTGACCGCAGGCCGAGCTGTGCTGTCTGTGAGCCGTGCTGTCTGACCACAGGCCGAGCCGTGCTGTCTGTGAGCCGTGCTGTCTGTGAGCCGTGCTATCTGACCGCAGGCCGAGCCGTGCTTTCTGTGAGTCGTGCTGTCTGACCGCAGGCCGAGCCGTGCTGTCTGTGAGC